GGCCGCCGCTTGACCCCGTCCCCATCAGGCCCCAGGTCCCGCAGCGTGGCGCTTGGATTCAGCCGCGCCTGCCTCCTCTGGACGAGGGCATCACGCCCCACCCACCGCGGTAGCAGGACCGCTCTCCGGCGTGTCCGTCTTTGTCACGCTCCCACTTGCCGAGACGCCTCCGACACGATCTGCGCCCCGCCCTGGTGTCTGCGGCACTGGTGACGCAAGGAAGGCTGCCTCTCTCCGTGGCCGGCGCTGCTTCATGGGTGGGGCCTCTGTGACCTCTGCGCCGAGTAAACAAACTCCTGCGCTAACGACGCGCGCTCCCCTGTTGCCCAGCCTCCCCGGATCTCGGTTGACTGTCTTGCCAACCAAAAGGTCCCCTGCTCCGACCAAAACTGGCGCCCCTTTGCGTGCCCTGCCCGACAGACCCAACGAAATACAAAGGGGCGTGCCGGGTCGCCTGGCCCGCAGTCCCTCACCCTCCCTCGATGATGAAGTAGCGCAGCTTGTCGTTGCTGTCCCGCGAGGGGGTTGCGTAGCACTTGTTCAGCATCAGGATCAGGTGGTTGGAATCGGCCCCGACGACAAAGACCCCCACATAGAGCACGTCCCGGGTGGTGAGCACCACCTCGCCCTGCCGGTACGGGTGCTTGTAGGACGAGTTCTTGTACAGGGCCATCTTGGTCGTGAAGCTTCCTTCCTGCGTCGGCACCGTCAGGTTAATCACGCTGACGATGACAAAAAAAACCACCGGCTTGGACAGAGGAAAGGCTACAGAACCTCTGACTCGCCGCCTCGCTTCGAACCCTCGCCGTCTCGCCCTCCGCCCCTGCACAGGTGTGCGACAGGAGAGTCCCCACCCCAACTCCTACCTGAGCATCGGCCGCACGACTGAATCCAGGGAGATCTTGATGTCCAGCTCATAGGCGCACGAAAACTCCACATTGATGGTCCGGTCCCGGGTGATGACATTGCCCGTGTTGTTCGCGCTCTCAATCCACACTGTGTTCTTGTACACTATGTGTGTGCTATTCGACTGCAGAAGGAATGTGCGGCATGGCTCCATACCGGCCATGTCCTCTGCCCCACTCTTAACGAACGTGTTGGCCCCTAAACAAGCCGCACAACATCGAGGGCCCAGTCCTGCCGCTCTGCCGCCTTGTGCCAGAAAGGGTA